CCAAATGGCATATGTCATTACTGCCCGCATTTCATAGTCAAAGCAAATCACATGCCACTCTGCGGTTCAACATATAATTCTGCCATCTTGAAGGCACTGCAGGGAGAGAAAATGGAATATTTGGCAAAAGTAATAAAATCCACTACATCATCAGACCTGCGTGGACTTCTACCCTAACTGTGGACCATTGTGGCATTTTGGAACCCTAGAAAATAGTGTCAGTTCAGAGGCAGTATATAGTAATCCCAGAAAAGTCTGGGCATTTTTCTGTAGAAGATTTACAATATACAGCTGTCGCAATGTCACAGGTTTCTTCCTCCAGAAGACAGGCTTGTCCTACTGTTCAAAGAGTTCCAGATTTGAGAACTGGCTCAGGTCTGGAAATAGGATGAATAGCATTAACTCTCCATTGTGATTAAAATTAAGCCTCTACTCACAGACCTAGAACTTTTACATTTTATATATAAAGTAAAACCTTGTTACATAAAAGTAAAACTGCCCATCTATTTCAGTCTTAGGGACACCATGATCACTTGGCCATATTCAAAAATGTCTGTAATTAAACCACTCTGATTATCACTAGTCAGTCTTGTCTTGGCAGTATCTACTTGGTCTGTGACTCTGAGATCCGTCATCCACATTGAAATCAAAGAGCCCATTTCTACGTCAGCATCTTCAGCTGTCAGCACAGTCTTTAATGACAGCAAGGAGAGAGCTTTCCAAGAAAGCTGGGCTCCTGTGGCCAATGTCTTTCCCCAAGTTTTGACAGAGGCAGTATCCTCTGATAGGATGTATTATTTTGCTAGGGCTGTCATAACAAAATACCACTGATAGGGTGACTTAAACAACAGAAATTTATTTCCTATTGTTCTGGAGGGTGGAAGTTCAAGATCAAGGTGTTGGCAGGTTTCATTTCTCCTGTGGCCCCTCTCCTTGCCTTGCAGATGGCTGCCTTCTCCCTGTGTCTTCATGTTGTCTTTACTCTGTGCCAGTCTTCCCTGGTGTCTCTTCCTCTTTTTCTAAGGGCATCAGTCATGTTGGATTAGGGCTCCACCCGTATGACCCCATTTAACCTTAACTGCCTCTTTAAAGAACTTATCTCCAAATAGAGTCACTTTGGGAGTAAGGGCTTCCCCATATGAATTTTGGGGTGATATGATTCAGACCATAACACACTCTTTGCTAATTTTAACTTTCATATAGCAGATCTCATAAAATAGTGAATTCACCTGTTTTGCAATTCTTCATGTAAAAGAGTGAAATTTTAGTCTGGTGTTTGGTCACGCTGGTCCTGTAATTCTAAAAGACGTTATTTTGTGGAAGTCACAGTAGCACTCTGATTTTCTGACAGTGTCTTAAGTAGACATTTTAGAATCTTGAGGTCATCACTTCTTTCTGTAATCTCTCCAATGCACTGAGAAATATTTAATCTACCTCACACGCCCTGTAGTTCTCACTCCAACAATATCCACATATTACAGCAATCCCTTGGTCTCCCAAAACTGTACCCTTAATATTAGGCACTTCGTTCTATGCAATACAGGTAATTTATGTAACTTTTTTGTCATTAATCAGTATCACTACTAAGTAGGTCACCACTACTTCAAATATAGCAACTCCAATAACAAAGCCTACATTCCTATTTTCAAAGATCTTGTTCTTGGAACCACTCTTGGTAAGTGTTCAGCCTGGAAAAAAAACCTGTTATAGGTAGTCTAAGCAGGAAGTGATCTAATACAGTGATCTCATATTGTTGAAAGGTCTAGAGAAGTGGGTAGGAGCTGCCCATCAATCAGGAAATCACATAAAGTTGCTGGTAAAGCAACCGCGGCTAGGTCTAAAGTGAATGTGCGAAAGCCACTTGCAGAAGCTCACATTAATCTATCACTATTTCTTATGAAAGAAGAATAAACTCTATCTCACTTCCTCCTTTCAAATCCTTTATGAGTACTTTCATTAGCTTACTCTAAACAAGAATGTTGCTGACAAAGAATTCTGGGAAATGTAGTTCCCAGAATTCCTGCGTCTACATACAGGAGGAGACTGACCATGAACAGTACTGAATGCCAACAGACATATACCTGGCATGCATCTCTTTCCAGAAGCTTTTGGAGGATATGCCCCACAAAAATGAAAGATTAAGCCGCAAAGCAGAAGATCATGAGATCCTAGATACTGAGAATTCAGGACATAAGAAAGGCAAAAGAATTTTCCAAGATGATAGGAACAGGAGGTCCTAGGATGACAGCTATGTTAGCTGACTATAGAGCAGCCAGCCCAGATTAGAATAGGAGGAAATAGGAATTTAAGAGAGGACTCCAAGGAAAACAAATGGAACTGATAAAATAGTTTGTCTATGTTCAGAGGATTTTTATAGTTCCACTGGAGAGATAAGGAAGATTACGTACAGATAAAGGTACTAAAACCCCCCTAAACAAATAAAAAGCAAGGCAATAATTAACTCTAGGAAAAAATTTTAAAGTACACTACTTGGTTTAATGAACAATGTTTATAGTCATAACACTATTAACACTAAATATTAGTTTAACCAAAATTGAATATATAATTATTTCGGAAGGAGGGGAAGGAAGGAAACTAAAAGTAGTAATGTAAAAAAGTTAAATTCTCACCATCAGTGATAAGACGTATAGATTAGTTCTAAAATGGATAAATCTATAAATAGTAATATGACCATATTAAGTTTAGAGCTGGAGGTAAATATGAGAATAAATAGCTAAAAGATGTAAAAGTGTCTGATTCTAGGAAGTGGTTAGTTGGGGATGGGGAGGGATAGAAAACGGGCCTGCCACTTTCTGTTAAGAACCTCACAGAATTATTTGATTGTTAAAACTATCTATATACGTGCAATAGTTCGTTATAAAATACAATAACTCTTTTAAAAAGATTAAATGGGAGATAAAGAGATGGAGACACAAGATGTAGCCCAATGCCTCTCAAATTTTAATATATGTATTATTTGTATATATAATATATATATATATATACAAATTACCTGGGAATCATGTCAAAGTGCAAATGCTGCTTCAGTAGATCTGGGGTGGAATCTGAGAGTCTACAGTCTTTCTAGCTCCTGGTTCATGGACCATACTTTGAGTAACAAAACTATTTCTTGTCTTAGGGAAAGGGAGAGAGAAATAATTAGAGGGATACCAAGGATAAAATGAGGTTTTAATCATGAGATACCATATTGTACCACCGTTACCTTCTTTCTATTCTATCTTTTCCGCCTGAAAATCTACTCATTCTTTAACATCTAGTTCATATACCATCTCCTCTGTGAAACTTCCCTGATCTTTTTCCTCTCTCCCAGTCTCAAGCAAAATTAATTATTTCACAGTTTGGGAGCTCCCCCAAAAAATCTTTGCCTATAAGAGTATCTATCTCATTGTATTGTTATAGTTGGTGTCTTGCCTGCTTCCTGCACTAAGTCGTGGGGACATAAATCATAATTTTCCCCCCAAATCTGTGTAATCCTTGAATTTAGCATATGCATTGGAAATTTCAAAGTTTAAATAACTGCTTAGAAGAAACAAATCACTCAGGAATGAATATAGTAACAAATTATAGTCATTAGAACTGTTTGGAAGACAGGTGCGTGCTCACTTGGCGACGTTAGAGTTCTTTATTTTGTAGGAAACTGATGACCCTATAACTCCCCTCCTAAGATTCCATGATTCTATGTCCTGGATGTTATGAAATAATAATAATATGAATATATGAAATATTTCCAATGGAGATAGGTTATCATGCATTCATTAATTTATTCTGGAGAATATTTTTAGCTTTTAACATATATGATTATAATTGGTAACCTAAGTAATAGGAAAAGTATCCCTTAATATAGAAGAAAAATCCTTTAATGACAAAAAATACCCTTTAATAGAACAGAAATAGGAACCTACACAAGGTTTTAACTGTCAGGGTCACTTTGGTAAGATTCAGATGCCACAAACAAAACTGACTTCAACTTGGCAGCTCCAGCACCCTAAATTATAGGACTGAAATGAAAGTCAACACTCATTCTAATTAGGGTGATAAATGCTGTTAGCAATGAGCAAATGGGCCCAGAGAGGGCATACTGCCAAGCTGATTTTTAAATAGCAAGAAGTTCATTAAAATGGTAAGGAAAGAGCAGTAAGGGACTGACACACAGTTCCAGCTTGTCCTGGGAGGCAGGAAGTGCCAGCCCTGGGCTGGATGTATCATTCCAGATCCTGAATTTAAGGCTATAGATGTCTGCTGATGCAGGATCTAAAGAAAAAAAGAAAAAGAAAAAGAAAAAAAATAAAGTAACAAGGGAAAGGAGCTAGGACAGCTGATGATCTGTCATCTGCCAAAATTTAGGTCTTCAGTTTGCATTTCAGGTCTCGAAGGGAACTTACAGATCAGTTACTCGTCAGCAGTACTTGCACCTGGATGCACATTAGAATTACCTGGATACTTCCAAAAAAAAAAAAAAAAGAAAAAAGACTGACCCTTAAGTCCCATAACTGGGGATTCTCATTACTGGGTCCTGGCTTGAGTCTAGGACTCAGGGTCATTAATTTGCTCGCGATCACCCCGTTTTTAGTTAGTTGCAGATTAGAGATGATCATCGTTGGTTTCCAGGTCTGCATCTGCTCTCTGCTATCCAGCTTCTGTTGTAACCACCCCCTGATATGCTACAGATACAATGGACAGCCTTGCTCAGCATTTCTAGAACATCTTTCATGGTGAGATCAAAAGCATACTCAAAACCACGTGGCTCAGTCCAACTGGAGAGACCATGCGAAAAGAGCTTATTCCTATTGGGTAGAATCTTGTCTCTTCACTCACATTACAGGCCAATCTTGCAGAAGCCAGGGAGTTCTGATTACAGTCTGGGCAAATAAATAATAATTCTATAATTCCTGATTGGCCTGGTTCATCCTGCAACCAAACAGCTGTTGTCTGCTTGCAGAGGGTGCACACACGGACCATAACTCACACTCAGCTGTAAGCAGACAGTTCTCTCCAGCCATTTGTAGCTGCTCCTAAAATCCAGAATGATTGTATCATGATTAATGGCACTTACCTATAAATATCAATACTTCATTATATCTAACCCTGGTACACACCTTGACAATTATATTATAAAGAAATCTGGTTGGCCAATCATTTTTAAATATGTTGCAAATGGACAAAAAGGCATCATGGTATCTACGTCCCATCATGTTACCATTACTGTGACATGGAACTTGCCTCCCACTCCAGCATCAGACAGCTTCTTGCTGCACCTGATCTACCCAGCCAAGAAGACAGATGTCAGAAAAGCCACGTATGCAAAATTCACTACAATCTTATGTTTGCTTTTTAGTATATTTTTAAGAAATACTGACCCAGTAAGAGGTCAAGAATTTAAGGCTTCTCTTGGCTTTGAAGCATTTTTGAGATAAGTAATTTTCATACTCTGATATGGTATCAGAACCACCTGGGGAGTGAGAGCTGGGAATTTGTATTTTTAAAAATTGATTTATTACTAGACTTTATTATTTAGATCAGTTCTACATTTATAGAAATTAAGGTGCTAATACAGAGAGTTACCATATACATGCGCTCCCCCCACAAAGAGTTTCCCCTATTAACATCTTACACTAGAATGGTACCTTTGTTACAGTTAAGGAACCAATATTGATATGTTATTATTAACCAACTTCTGTAGCTTATTTGGATTTCCTTTGTTCGTACCCAATGCCCTTCTTCTATTCCAGGATACTACATTATGCATGTAGCTGTCAAGTGTCCTGAGGCTCCTCTTAGCTGGACAGTTTCTCAGACTTGTTTTTGATGCCCTTGACAGTTCTGAGGCAAATGAGTCAGGTGTTTTGTAGGAAGGCTGTCTATTGGAATTTGTCTGATTTTTCTCATGATTATACCGTGGGTTCTGAGTTTTGGGGAGGGGGATCTGAGGTAAAGCTCCACTTTCATCACAACATATCAAGGGTACATACCATCAACATGACTGGGGACTGTTGTTGACGTTGATCATCGACTGAGATAGTGTGTTTCTCCAGTGAAAAGTTACTTTCTCCCCTTTCCACGTTGCTCTCTTTGGAAGGAAGTCACTTTGTACAGCCATAAGTAAGGAGTAGGGGTTATGCTGCCCCTCCTTTAGGATGGAGGATCTCATGATTTATTTGGAATCTGTCTGGATGGGGAATTTATCTCTTCCCAATTCATTAGTGCACTGATATAAATTATACTATGGATATTTATTTTAATTTATTTTATATGTTGCATTATCATCTAAAGCTACTTTATTTTGTTGCTAAAATGTTCAAGCTTCGGCCACTGGGAGTTCTTTTAGTTGGCTTCTGTGCACATTTGACATACCCCTTTAGTGTATGTGTGCATGTGTGTGTGTGGAGGCATGTATATATCTATAAATATTTCCATATTAACCATCCACATTAACATGAGTTTTTACCAAAGCCTCAAATTCTAGCCCATTACCATAGGGATGATCCTCTTGCTTTTCTGGAGTCTCCCACTCCAACGGGAAGAAACTCGATTCCTGCTGCGCACCATCCATTCACTAAGTTGTCTGGTCCCAGCACACACGTGCAGCAGTATCAGGATTATTAATGCTTATGTCCATGAGAAACAGCTTTTTTGACTAGAGTCCAGCATTATGTTCACACCCTCTGGCCTTTGGTCTTACAGACCCCACTCATTTCCAAAGCCACTTATTCCTTCAAAGAGAGTGTTTTATAGCACTTGTAACGCAGTTAAATTCTCTCATCACAATCTACGATCTTTCTTGGAATCCCCTGACTTCCTAAATGATTTTTTTCATTTGCACATATTAAGGTTCACTTTTCCCCCCCAAATTTATTTTCCTTTTTAAAAAAATTTTTTTAAATTAAAGTATAGTCAGTTTACAATGCTGTGTCAATTTCTGGTGTGCAGCATAGTGTTTCAGTCATATATATACATACATATATTTCTTTTCATGTTCTTTTTCATTATAGGTTACTGCAAGATACTGAAGTGGTGTATAGGAGCCTTTTCAAACTGGCTTCTTTCGCTCAGCAATATACACTTAGTTTCTCCTTGTCTTTTCATAGCTTGACAGCACATTTCTTTTTATTGCTGAGTAATAAATACTCCACTGTATGGATGTACCACAGTTTGTTTATCCATTCACTTGTTAAAAGACTTGCTTCCAGTTTTTGGCAATTACAATTAAAACTGCTGTGAACCTTTTTGTGAGAGTTTTTGCATGCACATAAATTTTCAACTCAATTCAGCCAATACCTAGGAGTGTGATCACTAAATCATACGGTAAGACGAATTTTGCTTTGTAAGAAGCTGCCAGACTGTCTTCCAAAGTGATTGTTCATCTCGCACTCCCATCAGCAATGAATGAGAGTCCCTGATGCTCTGCATTCTCACTGGCATTTGATATTGCCAGGGCTTTGAATTTTAACAGTTCTAACAGGTCTGCAGTAATATCTCACGTCTGTTTTATTTTGCAGTTCCCCGATGGAGAGTGATGCTGACGCTGAGCATCTTTTCACATGCTTCTTGGCCTGCTGTGTGTCTTCTTAGGCAGCATCTGGGTTTGTGCGCTTTTGAATGAGCCTTTTCAGTGATTCTGGTGAAGACAGCGTTAGAGGGTCATCAGCCCAGACCACGGTCTGCCCCTCACCTTTACTTAATTCTTTGTCTCCATTGCAGTTACCCTAGATGGCAACAAGGACATTCTTCCTTTTGCCTGATTTCACCACCAAACATTGTTTAATCTGTGAAATTTTACCTATTCATTGACAATCTATTTAAATAGAAAAGTGATCATTACCCAAAGGCCTGAGATGGAGGTAAACATGAAGGTGCCAGAGTCTGAGGATGGGCTCTTGGCTTATACTTGCTGCTTAGAGACACATTCATTTCTATACTTTGATGAATATATACCCCAGGGAAGTGTGATTCTATGGGCCACAGTCACGTGGTCCACCTGTCCAGGTGAGGGTATCTGTGCCACAGCTGTCAGTCTACCATTCAGAACACAAGCGCTTTCTATGGAAATGTAATAGAACACATAAGTCCACTGGTAAACAGTATGACACACAATTGAGAATAAGGCTTAAAACTTAAGTATAAGCAGATAGCT